TGTATTGTGGATATAATTCTTTTCCACAGATCTACTTATTGCTTTCCTGGGAAATGCCAACACTGGATTTAATTACTGCTGTGTCATCAGGAAATACGGTGATGCTCGTGATCCACTAACCCCGAGGATACATATACGGCGTAAATACATTGCTTCTGGGTATTCAAAGGGGAAAATAATCTTAGATTAATGAAACCCATACTGCTTGAAATAGATTCATACAAGAGATGTTGATGAGGCGTCTCCCATAGGTGTTGACATGGCGTCCTCTTGTATTTACATAGCTTATGGTTGGAGGCATGGTCATGTCCTATATTTACTTGTGTCCAGGTTCACTAGTCACGAATTATCAAGAGCTGATGGCATGGCCGTTGATGTGCCCTACTTTAGATCAACACGATGTCATGGCATGGCCGTTGATGTGCCGTTCTTTAAATTATCCAGATTTCATTGCATGACCGTTACAATGCCGTACTTAAGATTATCAAGATTTCATGGCATGGCCGTTGATATGCCGTATTCGTGATTATCAGTGGTTGATGGAATCTAAGTAGCATATGTTATATTTGGTATAGCACTTTCTTACCAAAGTACAGATTCTAGTACCTTTTGGGTTGAGTCCCATCCGGGATTCGAACCCACACCATCAGAGTCAGACACCTAATCGCCAGCACACAAAGTCAGACGCCTTGACCGCTCAGCCACCGCGGCTTCCACAAAAATGGAAGTCGGACAACTGGTAGTCTAGACTGCGGACTTTGTGTACCCCTCTGATAAGTGTTAATTGGCACGGCTCCCACGGCCGAAAGCTATGAAATACACAATGCCATTATAGAAAGTGGTGAAATGTAACATATTCTATATTTGGGATTACACTTTCTGGATGGATTCAACGTTGTGTATTTTAGATCACCAAGGGAATTGATGTGTGTGTGTTTTTATTATCAAGGGTTGATGCCGTTTTTCAGAATGATAATGGCATGGGTGGCGATGCGTGCATGATGTTCATCAAGGGTTCATGACACAAACGTTGATGTGCCTTACTTTAGATTATTAGGAGTTGAGTCCCTGACTGCTGATGTACAGTACAATAAAATATAATATGAAAAGTTGATGGTCTAAACGTGGAGTGCTGTATTTTCGATCACCAAGAATTGATGGATTAATTTGTTATGCAGTACTTTCGATACACTAGAGCTGTTGGCATCTTGGCTTTGACGAACCGTAATTTAGATTATCAATAGCTGGTGACATATTTAGTTTGATTGGTTGTGCTTCATGTTAATCATCAAGTGTTGATGGGCGATGATGTGCCATCTTTGTGGGTGTATGCACTGACGTTGATGAGCAGACTTCCGGGTCAATGACTAGGATGTCGGATTGCCTCCCCACTATATGGCCCATGACTGACAGTAAGACGTCGTCTTTCCGTTTTGGCTAAAGACTAGGCTGGCGTCAATCACAGAACAGAAAATTTACAGATCTACGTACGGCTGGATAGGACTTATTACATAGTGCTGGATACAGAAAGTACCAAACCACGAGAAGCACACTTATATCTCCTCGAAAGTAAAGGAAGGTTTGTGGCGATTGCATTGTCATATTGCACAGTCGTGATGACGGTGCCTCTGTAAATGAATAAGAGTTAGTGATGCCAGTATGTTGAATATCCTGGAATGGGAGAGGTGTGACAGACCAAATGCTTACATGTACTTACACAACCCAACAATTTCGTTCGAAATGTATATTTCTTTAAGAAATAAGAAATTACACATATCAAGATAAGACCAAGGAAGGCACCTGGTGCGACATCCCTACCTCACCTAGACAGGCCACCTTCATGTAGGACGACTGTCAGCATCAACAACGTTGCAAAGTGTCCCTATGACTTGATTATATCAACTGCATACTGTTATGAGAGAGTGTTTTTTGTAATTTGTATTATCATTGATTAGCGACACGCCTTTTTGATAACGCTTCAGAGTTACCTCCCTCAGCTGGCTTTGTTTTGTTTTGACTTGCGGGTCTTGTCACGTCATGTGTTTTCCATGTGGTTGCATGGCATTCTGAGAGAATAATGATGCAGCCTAGCTTTGCTAGAATGCCCGAGAACTGTGTATGAGCTATATAAAGGCTGGATGGTGAGTTTTGTGACGGGACTTATCACATGACTGCATTTATACACATCTGTCTGCCAACATCAAGTTGTTAAACGTGCTTGTCTACTCAACTGCTGTCGTTGTAAACAACCTTCAATCAGTACATCTGTTCTCACTGTAAATGTCAAGACTGGTGAGTTTATATTTTATATTTGTGACTCAGTTGCATTGTACTAGAAATCTGTGTTGTCATTCATTGTAGTTTGCTAATTGTTTATTCAATATATTAGTGAATATTTTAGACTTGTCTGTGTTCTATTTTGCTGGTTCAAAGCAAACTTTTAAACCTTTTGCCACGGCAAATTATTAACCGTAACAATACTACAGAAATAATTTGGTTGACACATATATTATTGGGGAAACCAGGACCACAGGAAAGACTAAAAACATTTGAAGGATGCAACGTGTAGCTGATTCGACAGAAATACACATATCACAAATGTGAGCCGCTACTCCATTCAAGCAACATATGAATTTTGTTCTGCAAAAAAATCATCACTAATGGAGAAGTGTAAGAAAGAGACGAAATCCGAACCTTTTTTAATCTTGTTTTTTTCAGTAATTCCAATCTCCCCTAAGCATTAATACACAAGCTGAACACTGCCAGTGGCATTTCCGTTATATAGGTGCTCTAAAAAGACTACTTTTTGTAACCAAATGCTCAAGGAATCAACCAATTTGCCCTAAAAGCATCCCTCGCTTTCAACATGTCGGAAATCTTAAATTTCGAGATTAACAGTTTTTTGCATGATATGCATGTACATAGTGACCTGGATATCTTTGATGTAATTTAAGTATGATGACGAGTGTTCGCATGCTTATCAACCGATCTACAAAGTCAGAATCTCATTCTCAGACGAAAACCGGAAATAGCTCCTTGCTCACAACAGGGGAGAGGGTTGCAATTACATTACTGAATAAACATATAAACGAAATGTCCGAATGAAAGTTAAACGAAATAGAAAAAATCATTCTAAATCTACGTAAGCACATATGATTAGGTTTGCGTCCTGCGTCAATCAATGCTTTGGCCCGAATACCGCGTACCCAAATTGGGTCGTCTGCCTGGCGTGGACACAATTTGGCGAAGCTGCCTTACTGCTCTGTATTGTAAATGAGAGAGTAACTTGACTTTAACGTCTATCGTTAGCTTCAATGAAGACGTATTATACTGAAGTATGTAAGTTAGTTGCGTGTAAGGAGATGTCAGGTTGATGTACGAGAAAAGCCCAAGGCGATTCAGGTCGGAGGCTTTTACCACTTTGATCCGTGCGTGAGTTTAGTCTTACGTCGCACTCAGCAAGATTCACCGCTATATTGCGGCGGTCTGTAAATAGTCGAGTCTGGACGACACAATCCAGTGATCAACAGTATGAGCATCGATCTAAGCAATTAGGATACGATGACATGTGTCAACCGAGTCAGCGAGCCTGACCACCCGATCCCGTTAGTCTCCTCTTACGACAAACACGGGTTACTGAAGATTAATTCTAACCCGGATCTTCACGGATTTTGATGAAAACAACGAGCACCGGCGTAGTTCTGTCAAGCATAGGAACATAGTCAGGACAAACTGGGATTCTAGCGTTTCTCGCGTGCCCAGTTGACGCAATTCTTGAGAAAGAAATTGAATCCCTTCCACGAGTTACCCGTACTCAGCTGCACCGGAATAAAACAGAAGGGTGCGTTATCTTGCCGTACAGTTCTGTTATTTGAGGAAACGATTGGATAACCTTCTGGGTAAAATGTTCGTTCGTTAGGAGGAAGGTCCGTTCCCAAGGTCTGGATCGTTCCGATACGTTTAACAAATTGAATATGGGACATCACTTAATTCAACGTGAGTGCTATATAAATGGGTATAATGTGTGAAACTCATGTCCGTTGTGGGCCACCTTGCTGCAGTATGACCTAACGAGGCGTAAAAAGATATTTATTCACTGTCAGTTACCAAACAGCTAGACATGCAAGATGAGATAGGAATGTTCAGTACGAAGAGACTGTTTACTTCAGCAACCGTAGGGCGTTATGTCTGTCCAGCGAATCACTTTCATTATCGATGGTTATAGATCCAGCACTCAAAACGTGGATTTTGCTTTATGAAGCCTCACAAAAATATTTCATTTCATTTTAGTAGTACTAACTAAATTGAAATGTTATTCAAAAGTTCGTTCATCAAGGAGGAACTGGCGTTTGTAGATGAACTGTGTAAAGCTCATATTCTTCATTACTAAAAACGTCGTAAGAGTGACTCAAGCTGGCTGAAAATGAACAGTTTTTTCAGTTGCAGTGTTTGACAATATTCCAGTGGTATAAGGATGCTACCAGGAGGGCGGGCCAGTTGTATAAGAATGCTTCCAGGAGGGCGGGCCAGTGGTATAAGGATGCTACCAGGAGGGCGGGCCAGTGGTATAAGAATGCTTCCAGGAGGGCGGGCCAGTGGTATAAGAATGCTTCCAGGAGGGCGGGACAATGGTATAAGGATGCTACCAGGAGGGCGGGCCAGTGGTATAAGAATGCTTCCAGGAGGGCGGGCCAGTTGTATAAGAATGCTTCCAGGAGGGCGGGCCAGTGGTATAAGGATGCTACCAGGAGGGCGGGCCAGTGGTATAAGAATGCTTCCAGGAGGACGGGCCAGTGGTATAAGGATGCTTCCAGGAGGGCGGGCGATTGGTATAAGGATGCTTCCAGGAGGGCGGGCCAGTGGTATAAGATGCTTCCAGGAGGGCGGGCCAGTGGTATAAGATGCTTCCAGGAGGGCGGGCCAGTGGTATAAGGAATGCTTCCAGGAGGGCGGGCCAGTGGTATAAGGAATGTTCAGGAGGGCGGGCCAGTGGTATAAGGATGCTTCCAGGAGGACGGGCCCAGTGGTATAAGGATGCTTCCAGGAGGGCGGGCCAGTGGTATAAGGATGCTTCCAGGAGGGCGGGCCAGTGGTATAAGGATGCTTCCAGGAGGGCGGGCCAGTGGTATAAGGATGCTTCCAGGAGGGCGGGCCAGTGGTATAAGGATGCTTCCAGGAGGGCGGGCCAGTGGTATAAGGATGCTTCCAGGAGGGCGGGCCAGTGGTATAAGAATGCTTCCAGGAGGGCGGGCCAGTGGTATAAGGAATGTTCCAGGAGGGCGGGCCAGTGGTATAAGGATGCTTCCAGGAGGGCGGGCCAGTGGTATAAGGATGCTTCCAGGAGGGCGGGCCAGTGGTATAAGGATGCTTCCAGGAGGGCGGGCCAGTGGTATAAGGATGCTTCCAGGAGGGCGGGCCAGTGGTATAAGGATGCTTCCAGGAGGGCGGGCCAGTGGTATAAGGATGCTTCCAGGAGGGCGGGCCAGTGGTATAAGAATGCTTCCAGGAGGGCGGGCCAGTGGTATAAGAATGCTTCCAGGAGGGCGGGCCAGTGGTATAAGAATGCTTCCAGGAGGGCGGGCCAGTGGTATAAGGAATGTTCCAGGAGGGCGGGCCAGTGGTATAAGGATGCTTCCAGGAGGGCGGGGCAGTGGTATAAGGATGCTTTCGGTTGCTTAGTTGTTTGTTTGTTTGTATTTGTTGTTTAAGGCTTCACTCTGTTGTTTGGTCCTAGTGAGTATCCTCCCAAAACAATTCGGTGATCCGCTTCGTGCGTATGAATCATCCCGTTTCAATGAGAAACATCTACCTTGTGTGTTTGTTTTGGCAGTGCCACTGTGTGAACTTGCACCCTTCGCCATTGACCCTATAAAGAATTGTGGCTGGCGTCACGTTAAAACGCTTTCAGAGCCTGTCCTGCCTGTCCTGCCATTGTGGTTGACCGATGAATACCAATAGGGTTTGTAAAACAACAAATTGTCATGTTAAAAGTTTGGATCAAGGCATAGAAAATTCAAAATCCCTCAATACTATTCTGGTGTCAAACGTAGTTGTATTGGGTTATCGACATTTTTCTGGCATTATCTGTATTCCCGTTTTTGTGAAAAGGTTTAAATATGATACCTCGTTTTAGTCAGAATCAAGAATTCTTCAATTCGTGGAAGCATCAAAGGCGCCAAGTGAACTTTATCCAGCGATAAAGTACAACTCTTAAGTGACATCGTAATGGGCAACCGTCAGGTTTCCATTCAAATTATTTCCCCCGTGATCTATTGTATCCCTGGTAACGTCGTGCGTCTAATACTGCCAAACATAATGGCATATCCATATCACTTATCGGTGAAACATTTTCTTTAAATTTGTCAAATATTTAAATTTTATACCAAGGATGGGTAATAGGGCAAGATGATGTCAACCGTCTCTGTCCGCACCACAGAAGCCACGAAGTTGTTCCATTTGATGCTGGTGCCCCAGGAATAATGGTTGTCTCTGGACACAGAGGAGAGGTGGTATAGCCTAGTGGTTAAAGCGTTTGCTCGTCACGCTGAAGACCCGGGTTCGATTCCCTACATAGGTACAATGTGTAAAGTCCATTGCTAAAAGCGGCGGAAAACCATACTCCACTCACTCTCGACACAGTTAGAAAAAAAATCCTCAAAGATTTTCATAACCACATACATCACGTGCTCGGTATATAAAATTTAGCAACATAATTACTGCACGACAAAATGAACACCGTAGCTCTTAGTCCGTCATATTTGTCTGTCGCCATGTTAAGCCAAAAGTCCGTGGATTCACGTCGGCTACGGTGTCATTTAATGACAATTAGGTATACATGTTATTACATGGTTTACATTTGCCAGCTAGCGGTTGTCAGCGTAGGTATCGTTGTCAATATCAGTCCATGCATGAGTACCTCTGTTAACACCTTTAAACTGACTGACTCAGTTTGGTTTTACGCCGCTTTTAGCAATATTCCAGCAATATCACGGCGGGGGACACCAGAAATGGGCTTAACACATTGTGCCCATGTGGGGAATCGAACCCGGGTCTTCGGCGTGACGATAACACCTTTAAAGATCCTGATTAGAACTAATAATCAGCAACCGATGCTTGTCGTAGGAGGCGACTAACGGGATCTGATGGCCAGGCTCGCTGACTTGGTAAACACATGTCATCGTATTCCAATTGTGTAGATCGATGCTCATGCTGTTGATTACAGGATGGCTGGCCCATGTTCGATTATTTACAGGATGCCGTCATAGCTGGAATATTTCTGAGTGCGGCGTTAAGCAACAAAACAAACAAAACAAGCATCTGTTGACGCATAAGACTGAGTACAAATGTATTTGGCTGGAGTCATATTAATCAAATACGCCTTCGGTTCCTGACAAACACAATGTTGATAATTTAACGGTGAATTCTTTCTTATACAGTTATATCATGTCTATCTTGTTAGATGTTGTTCTGCACACGGTGCTAATACAGGCAGTATGGCTGGCTGTCGAATCTGTTTTCTTGTAGATTTGATAAAGATGATGCGCATGTTTGTTGCATATAGTCATTGATTCAATATTTGTCAGAGACATGACGCCGTATGGATAAGCTAACATCCAAGATATACATACATAGAGCATCATGAAAGCCAAAATATACAGTCGTTTTGTTGAGATTAGTATCTCATAAGAAATGAAAGAAGCAGCATGTCCACTGAAAGATCGAAGAGGTTATGCTCATTATGTCGTTCAGCTATCGAAAATGAAATTCGTTTTACTTTTGTATGTCCATTTTGTTGTAATCCGAGAAACTATACCAGAACGATATCTGTCAAATTATCCTGCATCTTCTTTCATTGCTCTTCTCTCTTCAAAAGTGAAGTTATTGCATAAAAACCGGTTATATATGTTAAAAATGCAATGTATCCAAGATACAACTTTTTAAACATTACTATATATCCGGGGCGGTGGGATAGCCTAGTGATTAAGGCGTTGGCTCGTCACGCCGATGACCTGGGTTCGAATCCCCATATGGGTACAATGTGTGAAGCCCATTTCTGGTGTCCCCCGCCGTGATGTAGCTGGAATATTGCTAAAAGCGGCTTAAAACCAAACTCAGTCAGTCAGTTACTATATATACGAATAAGTTAAACTATTTAGATGTAACTGCTTTGTATATGGGCCGGAACATGCAATAAATATATTTCATTTCATTTGATGTCAACCTCATAATATTTACTTTGTAAACCCACAGGACAAAAGATATTTCATCAAACAGAAGCAACAAAAACAAAATCCTTAATGAAAAGACATGTCTGCTAAATATTAATTGTGCAATTCCAACTACTGATAGTAAAAAGTCAAGCAACCACATAATTGTCAGACGGTATGGAACATGTACCATTTTTACTGCCAACGCTTTATGGTGACACACACATTGATGGATGTCTATCAACCAATACTTAAAGGTACTAAACATCATTACAAGACATTACAAGACACACTCCAGTCATTATGGTGTACTTTTAATCTGTATAATGTTGAAATGGTAAATGTTTAGGCAAACAAAGATCTAACAAATTTGGGGCACACAGGCAAACTTTTAATCGTAAAGTGGGGTGTGTGACTGTTCAGCATTAACTGTAAACTATGGACTGTTTGATGACAAGTTTTCACAAGGCAAAATTGACATAATGACCGTCAGTAATGGGTGTAACGACATCGGCTGTTTATCACCTCCGGACATCTTCGCCTCACAGAGAGGACCAGATTACGCATAAATCCCATTGGTAAGTTGTTCCATTCAGTACAGCATTTCTAAGCTCTTGTAAGAGGTCGATCACGCCGGTTTACTTGTCTACAAGTCTCATCCCATACATGCTCTATCGGGTTGAGATCAGAATTCTGAATTGGCCAAGGAAGACACTCAGTTCTGTGCTCTTGTTTGACTTCCTGAATTACAATAGCACGATGTTGACTTCCTGAATAACAATAGCACGATGTTGATTTCCTGAATAACAATAGCACGATGCGGGCCAACATTGTCCTCTTGGTAAATGAATGCTGTGTTAGGTTTGGCGTGATGGAAAGGAATAATCGGATTGCGATACTTTACCTCTGTCATTGTTCCTTGGACAACCTTAATGTCCACGTTCTCGTTATAATTAAATCCGGCCCATACCATTACCGAGCTGCCCCCGGCGACAGTAGGAAGTACACCCATAGGGGTTTAGCTCATCCCTGGTTGCCCGTCTGGCACATAAACGACCGTCAGCTACGTACAAATAGTAGCGTGACTCATCCGCCCAAATTACTCGTCGCCAAGTTGGAATGTTCCAATTTTCACGTTGTCTAGTCCAAAGTTTCTGGTCTCATTCTGTTTGTTGTGTTTGATTGAAGAGTTTATGTATCTTTTTATGTGCAAACCCACTGGGCTCAAATCTAATTACCTACGAAGAAATCAACATGTACATACAAGGTTGCGTGAAGATCACATATACTCTAGGGGGGCACAAATACATAAATAACTAATTGGCATCGTTATAAATGAAACCCCGTCATTAAAACTACTCATTACACCCTTTAATTAACTTTTTGACAACAGGGCATAATTCTCTCCCGCGAACGAAATTTCAACCAATCAGAGGGGCGCGTCTCCGTGACGTAATGTGAGGTATACATACGACGGACACTTTAGAATTCATGTACATTTCCGGGGGTAAATTATCTTGTCTACGGGTTTGTCTAAACCTGAAATCGTGACAATTGTTGTGAAAAGTGAAAGCTTTATGTTTTCACAATCTACTGTCATTTAATTTTGTCACCTTCTTTATCTTGCTTCCGAGTTACTTGTTTTCGTAGACGATTCTGTCAAAATCGCGTGTTGTCGCTAGGCCTTATTTAGTCGAACCAGACGCTAGTGATAGTGGCAACGATGATCAGCTTCGCCCATCACGGTTACAGGAAGAAGATCGACTAGTATCTACATACTGGTGAGTGGACGTTAACCACGTGAATGTAGCAAGAAATTTATCGCGCAATATTGTCACTTCGACCCCCACCTCGCTTCCGTGGAAGAAATCGATATGTTAGAAGTTTTGTCATACAAAATGCTTTAGGTCATGATTCAAATACATATTTAACTACGAGTCGAAGGTAGTTTTGATTGTGCTAACTTGATGAAAACAAAACCATAATCTCATTGATTCTCGAACAGACTTTAGCCCGTGACGTCACGATTTTTTAAAAATGGCAGCGCCCTGTCGTGAACATCCGCCAGTCTGAGAATAAATGCTATTTAGGTTTGTTTTCACCGAGTTACAAAATCATACCTACTTTCTACTGGTATTAATATATGTATTTGATTGATGGCCAATAGGAATTTGCATGACATAGCTTATAACACAACAATTTCTCTCTTGGAAGCGAGGTGGGTGTCAACATAATACTACTTACAATATTATTGTCACTTGGAGCACAACCTCGCTTCCGAGGAAGAAACCGTTATGTTACAAGTTGTGTCATGGAAAGGCTTTATGGTGATCAATCATATACATATTTTACTACAACTAGTACGTGAAGTACGAGAAGTGATCTGAACACAAGTAAAATATCGTTCCAGGCTTCCACAACGCTCGCTTCGCGCTCACAAACATAACCCATTTAGCACGAACTGCGAGGTTCTGTGGAAATCTGTGCATGGTGACACCATG